TATAGCCTTGTCGTCGTACATAGGCAATGGCCCAAACAAAGAAGCATAATAGTAATCTAAACATTGCTCCAAAGCAGCAAGTCTAAAAAGAGGATCAAGAATAAATGCAATACTATATATATGCGGGATATAGAAATAATATTTTAAAAACTTTTGTTTCATGAAGTCACAAAAATTTCCCACCGCCTTGGGAAGAAGTAGCCACTTCCGCTTCCTCTTCCTCATCATCCGGTGTGCCATGATCCTCGTCCTCGACCGTTCGTGGATCCCTCTCCTCCGCATCATCATCCTCGAGCTCTTCTTCGTCAATGGTTTGCGGGTTGTCTTGTTGATGAAAAAACGTCCTTGATTTTGTTGCAGAAGTTGTTCTAGTTGGTCATCGGACATCGCATCCCCATATCTTTGGTTGTAATCCGCATCAAAATCATCTCGGGTTTGAGATGAAGATCCCAGCCCTCCCTTACCTTTGTGTGACCTTGGAACATTCCTCGCAATCTCATTTGTTCGGTTGCGGCGGAGGTTACCCATTACTACAGAAGCTCTAGCACGCTCCATATTAAAAATATAACAAATATTAAATTCGAATAACAATTAAGCAATTAATTTTGAATTAACTAGTTTACCAATTAACTAATTTTTATAGGAGATTAATAAATGTAACTAGTAACTACTATGATAAGAGATTAATAAATGTAACAAACTAACAATTAACTAGTTTTTATAGGAGATTAATAAATGCAACAATTAACTAGTTTAAGAATTAAGCAAATAATTTCGAATTAACTAGTTTACCAATTAACTAGTTTTTATAGGAGAGTTAATAAATGTAACAATTAACTACTATGATAAGAGATTAATAAATGTAGCAAACTAACAATTAACTAGTTTTTATAGGAGATTAATAAATGCAACAATTAACTAGTTTAAGAATTAAACAATTAATTTCGAATTAACTAGTTTACCAATTAACTAGTTTTTATAGGAAAGTTAATAAATGTAACAATTAACTACTATGATAAGAGATTAATAAATGTAACAAACTAACAATTAACTAGTTTTTATAGGAGATTAATAAATGCAACAATTAACTAGTTTAAGAATTAAACAATTAATTTCGAATTAACTAGTTTACCAATTAACTAGTTTTTATAGGAGAGTTAATAAATGTAACAATTAACTACTATGATAAGAGATTAATAAATGTAACAAACTAACAATTAACTAGTTTTTATAGGAGATTAATAAATGCAACAATTAACTAGTTTAAGAATTAAATAATTAATTTCGAATTAACAACTAACTACTATGATAAGAGATTAATAAATGTAACAATTAACTACTGTGATAGGAAATTAATAAATGTAACAATTAGATAATAAGTGTATAAGTAGATATACTTAATATATACACACACACACACACACACACACATATATATATATATATATATATATATTTATAAGTAGATAATAAGTAGATTGCCTAGTAATATATAATAGGAAAAATTGACAAAAATAATCCCACCTTTCACTGGTCTTCTCATAATAATACCACCTTTAGGTAATCCCAGAATAATCCCACCTTTGCACCCCATCTTCTTTCATTGGACCCCGACCATGTTTTGTACTCTTTTTTTGAAAATCATATAAATAATCTTACCTTTCACTTTTCTATTATATCTTTATAAATGTGAGATTATTTATATAAGATTTTCAAAGAAAGGTAAAAAACTTGGTCAGGGTCCAATGAAAGAAGATAGGGTGAAAAGGTGGGATTATTTTGGGATTATGTAAAGGTAGGATTATTATGAGAAGATCAGTGAAAGGTGGGATTATTCTTGTCAATTTTTCCTATATAATATTATGTTTATAGTATATATAATATAAGTATATTACTATAAGATTAGTAATACACTTATATATAATACTTTAATATATATAAGTATATATTAAGTATATCTAAATGTAAATATAAGTAAATAAATTAGAGATGATTATATATGTAAATATAATATAATATATGTAGTTATAAATTTGAGAAGATGAAGATGGAGAAGATTAGTAGAGAATAGAGATTAGAGAGTAGGAATATTTGGAGAAGATGTGTAGTAAATTGTATAGAAAAAATGAAGTATTTATAGTTTTTTTGTACCCCTACCCCCTCCCCCCCCACCCCCACCCACCCCCCTAACCCACCCCTGGACCCCAGGAAGGCTCCCAACGGCTATATAGCCGTTTGGGTTCAATCACAATGGCTCTAAGGGCCTGTTTGGTAGCCAAAAGAAAAATAAAATTAAAAATATAGCCGTTGGCCCGAACCGGCCGGGCCGGGCCTTCCTTTTTGTGAACCGTGCCCGAACCGCTAGCCTCCCCCGGGCCGGGTAAAAGCCCGCACCGCCCAATCCGTAACCGGGCCGGGCCGGGCCCGCACCGCCCAATCCGTAACCGGGCCGGGCCGGGCCCGCACAGTGGTGGGCCGGGCCGGTTCAGGGCCGGGCCGACCCGGTTTGGTCCATCCTTACCTACATGGATAAAATGAGCCACGTTGGATGCCAACTAAGCACTTAAGATGCAAGCCGGTCGTTTACCGGGTAAAACGACGATTTGCCCCATTTTATCTCGTTTATGGGTTTAATTGGGCGTTTTTTCCGTTGGTGGCCTTAATTGACATTTTTCTTATAGTAGGAGGCCCTATCTGACACTTTTCCCAATATTTAATTATTTATTTGATGATTTTTCTTATCTGCTCTTTTAATTAATAATAATAAAACAACCGCATACACAAAGCAATAGCACATCCACGAAATATACATACATGATACATGTCTTTCCAATCACTTCAATTAACTTATTATAATACAATAAAAAATAATGTAAAAAAACAACACGACCACACTTCATAAACACATTGATTCGTACTACGGAGTACAATAATAAAATATATATACATCCAATACTAAACTAATTTAGATTCTACAACATTCTATTACACGTGAATCCTGGAGTGATTATATGCAATTCTCCAACATTCTGATACTTCTTGAGAGAAAGCCAATCCTGCAATTATTATATGCACTAAATGATCCGAAAACACGATGATAACCAGGAAGCACATACTCGAACCTGGATGATAACTTAAAAGATATCGAATTAAATTAAAGCAGACCAACACATAAATCAATACACACATATTAGATCCATTTAGGCTCATTTCAATCAGTTTTAATTTCAAAATTGTAAATATTTATAATTTTGTATAGTAACCAACGTATGTTTTACAGGAAACTCTTTCACCTCGTCTGGAAATATCATCATGTCGTGTCTGTTCATTGAAGTAAATAGGGAGTATGTGTTAGTACTATAGTTGTCTAAAAAAGCCTATTTTTTAATTAAAAAATTAAAAATCAATATTGATGAACTTATTTACTTCGAAATAGAATATCAAAAAATATGTCATGGAAATTATAACAAAAAAGTAATTCATAGGAATCTCAAAAGTATCATGCAATTAAAGTCAATAATATATAACTGACCAATCTAAAGCTATGTTGCATTGTTCAAGCAGCCTAGAGAAACGTTAGGAGTTAGGGGCGACTGGGCTGTGAAACGCCGGTAGCATCTGCGGCGGGCAATGGAAGAGTCGATCTTGTCCAATTGTCCTCCAGGGTTGCGCCATCAACGGTGAAACGTGCTTTAGGTCATCGCTGATCTTAGCGACATAAGTATCATACCCAAATGAAGTCTACTGTGGGAGATGGGTAATCGGGTATTCTCGATCCAAATCTAGATCTAGAAACATGGAACTGTTGGGCTTATATATTTATTCAAGTAAAAGATACGAAGTGCATTATTCCGATAGCAATAGTCGCACTTGTGTACTCCGTATTTAAAAGAGACTTATTATTATTCTTTGAAACACGGTTTTCCAACTGAAGCGCCGCACGGATATGCTATTTTCTGAAGAACGGCGCTTATGAGCTCAAAAGCGCCATAAGCTATAAAATTCATAATTTTATGTCAATAGGAGGCGCTTCTTGAAAACAACGCCTCCAGTGAAGCGCTTCTATTTGTTATTTTTCCACTAGTGAATAGTTCCACAATTTGCTTCTAGCTCACCATCATGAATAACCAACCACATTGAAAGAATTATCAAGTTTAAGAATACCCTTACCGCCGAGATATGGTTTGTGGTTCGATCCTTAGGGGGCTCAAACCCTGACTCATGAGCAGCCATATTCCCCATCTTGGCCATCATGACTAGCATTAAGCTCCATGCTTCCTACGGAGGTGGTCAATAACGGGTGTGAATGTGTCCCCCGCCCATAATTTCATCAATAGTTTTACTATCAACTAGATTCATGAAAGATAACCTTGTTCCCTTGGGAACTCTGGGAGGGCCCCCACTTGTGTTGTTTTCCCTGCTCATATCCTAGCATAGAGTTACGCAGAGAAAAAAGTGTTCAAAAAAATAAAACTAAATATATGGGGATGCACACATGGTCAAGGCGACCTCCAGAGCGAATTCATTTTCCAGAAAGAAAGCACGAGGGGAAAAGTAGCAACACTGAGTCACTAGCGGCTAGTTCCAAACTCCAACAAAATAATATGGAAGATGATAAAAAGGTTGGGAAGTGCGCCCCAGCCCACCCAACCATCAGAAACGAGAGACAATCGTCGGATTTTGAACTATAATCAATTTCCGCTTCGCATATGAACGTTGTTTTATGTGCAGAATTTTCCAGAAATTGCTGGAATAAATCCAGAAATCGTCGTTTCATACTTCTTCTCTTTCATATTTTTTCACTTTTTCTCCTACTCTTTTTACACTATTCACTACCCCTATTGTCCCCCCTTCAATGTTATGCAAAACCATATTAGCGATCAATAGAATACGGGGGAGTATCACTTATAGTCCGGATATAGAAGCTTATGAATCTTAAAGGTTTTGATTTATACAGTAGTAAAAACATTCATAAACAAGCCAAACATTGTGTACTAGCTTAAATAACAAGTAATTAAACTTTTATTACTTTATAAAATTATCATAAAATTACTTAAATACGACTGATGATTTAAAAGAAAACTGAACATTTAAACATTTATTTTTTTTGCACAAAAAAACCATGTATTTGGAAATAAAGCCTTACAATATTTGATATTTACATATACATTTGGCATACCGTACGTATCCTACAAGATCACTCTGTAAAGTGGTATGTTCTACAATCCCTTGCAACCGGGAAGGTCTATCCATTGGAGTTGGAGTTCCACCTCTCCGCATTCCACGTTCCTGAGTCTCAGACACATATCTTGTACTACCTTTTCATCTTTCCACACGACACGAGACTCCTCGGCAAAACAGTTTGCTCTATTTGGCTTCAGCCTCGAAACCACCGTGTTACTTGGGAGGCCCGATAGGTTCATTCTCAGTGCATCTATGAATGCATTAATGTTGAATTCTGCCTCTCCCATTTTGTCATCCTTGGTGAATGTGTCATGATCATACACAGTCTGAAGCACATATACATAACAATGACACTACTATGAATAAGACTAATAAGCATTGCAACTTGGAAAATAGTACTATTTCTTCCAGCCGTGCCAGAATTGCATCGATGTACAAGTTAGGCCATGATGCTGAACTAAAAAATATATTGTGTAGTAAAATGTAGATTGTGATTTCTAACTATAGCACGGCCTCACTCAGAAAATTCCTGAGAACTAGAAGCCATTCCGAAACACAAAATTATTTGGAAAGAAGTGTTTATATATCTTATAAGGAAACTGCAAGTTGCTGACATATCCTGCCTGCTGCAGTTTGTAGTACCAACCAGTGAAACCAAACGCCGACATAAATTAATCAACTGTGATATATCTTATATGTTTGTTAATGGTTTATTAGTTCAAATGGTAGAATTTGTTGACTTTTATAAACAAGAAAAGTGTTTGGTAATATCCATTGCATTGAAGTAAATAAGGGAAAGAAACTACATATTTGGCTGATAAACAGAATAAGCCAATTATGCGCTCCCAAACGTAGCCTATAACATCATATATTCCACAAAGTGAAAAGCAAAGTTTGGCATCTCGTAAGTGTCCGAAAAAGGAAAGGCATTTATTACTTCCAGGTAACTGCTTTAAGGCCCTGAAGACAAAACTTTGTTTACTCTTCACTTATGGAACAAATTCAGAAAAACAAACTCTATAAGAACTACTCCCTCCGTCCCATAAAATTCTTCCTTGTTAAATTAATCAAAGGTGAATTCTTCCAACTTTCCCTTTTTGGACAATTTGTGTGACTCACATTCATTTCACCTTTTTTCTTACACAACTACAACCATACATTTTCACTTTATTCCACTTCCTTAATATGCGTGCCCGTCAAAGTTGGAAGAATTTATTGGGATGGAGGGAGTATTTGTTTTCAAAACATGATAGAAAGTGCAACATGTTTTAAAAAGAGTTGCTTTTATGCTTTCATAATAAAGACACAGAAGGGTGGGCAATGTTCAACTACACATAGCATGGTACAGTTTCGCCAAGCACGGCTGATGCAGAAAAAAGTGTGAAGTTTCGGGATGACTAGCATTTAGTATGTATCTATTAAACCAGATTGAGACAGAGGAAGAACCATACAATGTTAGAGTTCATCAGTCTTCAGCATTGAACAGAACCAAAGAATTATTTTACGAGTAGTACTCAAGCAGTAATATATCAAAGATGATTGAGAAGGGAACGAAGCAGTTCTTTCAAATCCTCAATTAACTAGACGTCTCGACATCAAGTGCTTCAACTAATTATCCAACCAAATGATCCAGGAAACTTACCAGCTTAATTTTAACATCGGGATCAGAAACAGAAAAGGTCAGATCTTCATTCCATTCCGGATTAGTATCCATTTTTATAACACGGGTCTTCAGCTTCTGCATCAGCATAAAAGAGAAAACGATAGTCCGTAATAACAAATACCATTAATCCACACCCAATTTAAAAAAAAAAATATCATAATTTCAATTAAAGAAAAACCAAGCAAAAAATTGATATTTTCCACAAAAAATAAAAACGATAATAAGAGTGAAGAAGGTGATGAAGATGACCTGTCTTCCCATCTTGAGTAGAACGTAAGGATCGCTGCTACGAACGTCGCGAACGGCGAGGTTAATGCCTCTCTTTACACGGACTCTGAGAAGGCCTAAAAGACTGTCCATTAAGGATGCGTTGTTGGTGGAGGCGTCGGGTGTCCCGCCGCCGCTGGGTGTCTTTGGCGACTTCTCCATCGCACCTTTCCGGCCGGTCGGCTTGTATATTTGCTTCTTTTTATGCCGTTGAAGACGTGCGCCACCGACTTCCCCAAATGTTTTTCTGTTCTTATTTAGTACCGAGTAATAATTTCTGCCAAATTCTGCAATTATTTTTTTTGATCTACCGTTATATTAAAAAAATCAAGAACACATGTAGACAATCTTCAGATAGAAATTACGTTAGTACCCAATTTTGATAGATTTTGATGATGTCACTATACTTAGCATGTGTACATTGTATCCCAATTTTGTTTGTATGTTAGCATTCAAAATCATGTGACAAAATAAAATGTACAATTTTTGAGTCAATTTGAATATTACAGGAAAAATTAAAATGCAATAAGGTAATTTTTATTTACCTTAATAGGATATTTTGATCCTACCAGTATATATTATTTAAGCTCAAAAGTTAACTGCATGTCACATTATTAAAAAGAAGCTCGGAAATTATATACATTGAATGTATATAATTGAAGACAAAATATGACCGACATTTAATGCCTAAAACGTACTGGGGTCCTTAGCATTGAAGACGCACATATGGGATTGTCGTTGAAGGGATGTTTCAGCGGCTGAATAATGCAGGACAATGAAATAACCCGGAAGTCAGCTCCAGCACAAGAAGACGAATGTACAATTCGTCCTTGTAAGAATTTCAACGTCAGAGATTAATTCATCTTAACCAACTGATGAGATTAATCCAAAGGAGAAGCCTATAAATATAGGCTGAAACGAAAGTTTCAAACCAAGCTTTTGAACATCCAAAGAGAGAAATTCTATCACGAGCATTCATGAGATATCTAGCAAAAGAGAAAGTGATATTCTAAAACTTTACTCTCAGCTTGGACTCATGCTTCACTAAACTTCCAGTTTACAAGCTTTTCATTGTTAAATCATAGAAGTTTAGTTCCTAGTTGGAGGTTAGAATTTTCTTGTAACAAATCACATATTGTTGTAAACACTTAGGAGAACAGATGTTCAGATCCTACAGTGTAAGTAGATAGATAGAGTACCTTTTGATCACCATTGGTTCATTAGAGAAAAGTCTAAGGACTGAGTAACTTTGAGTGGTGCTATACTCATCGTGAAAAACCTTCAATCTAGGCCTAAGTGTTGTAAAGGCTGGATTGACACTAAGTGTATTGGGCTTAATACTTTAGTGAACCCCATCTGAAAGAGGGTGGGACTGGACGTAGGAGGATTACACAACCTCTGAACCAGGATATACTATGTGTTGATTTACTTTCATTCAACAAAGCACACACTTAGCACCTCTTACAAAAAGATTGAAGTTTGTCAGCAGAATCCTAAACAGTTGTCTTAACTGACTCAACTGTTTATCCTACTGCTTAATTACTTACCTTCTTTAAGATCATTATCATACAAGAGAAGTGCACCAATATCACCAAAAGGCCTATTCTAATATTTCCAGAAACTCATAGCAGGTGCCTCAGCAGTTCCCTGTAATCCACCCAACTGCTGAGCCCTCTGCTCATATATACTTGCTTCTTGTCAACATCTCAAACATCAACAGATTGTCACTACATCATCAAGAAGTTTGCTTAACCCAATAAGCTTTTGACCCAAGCAGGTGCCTCAGCAGTTCCCTCACATTCACCCAACTGCCGAGTTCACAGCTTCAGTAAAAAGATATAGTTTCTTTTCACTTAAGCATACTTACTAAAAGGCCTTACCATACTCACCAATCAACTAGCCTTACCTTCATCATATACTCTGCATTTCCTGAGCAGTTGCCTCAGCAGTTCTCTGCTCTTAGCCACCTGCTAAACCAACTGCTAGCATTCTAAGCCAAATACGCTCCAAGGTAGAAAGTGGCTAAACACTCATTACATAAAGGGTAAAGACTTCCGTTGTGCATCTATAAATCTCTCAAAAGTTTATAGATCAACTCTTTTAGAGGGAAAACTTTTAAAAGTCAAAGATTTAAAAGTCTATTCACACCCCCCCCCCCCTCTTTAGACTTTTACCCTATCCGGGACCATCAAGTGGTATCAGAGCGGAGTGTTCCTAGAGTCATTTATTGACTATTTTGAACTAAAGATCCAAAGCCACTTCCCCTCCCAACCACTCTCTAAACAATGGACAGCCAACTAGCCAACAATCTCCTGTTAGACTTAAACAAATTTGATGATTGGAGAATTAGGATGAAAGCACATCTCAGTGCTTTACATGATGAAATGCTTGAGGTAATCATTGATGGACCTATCAGAATAATGAAGGTCAGCACATCCAAAGCTTATGATCAGGAGGATATATACATTCCTAAACCAAAATTGGAATGGACATCTGAGGATAGGAAGAGGAATAATCTTGACAACATTGCCAAATATATTCTCTTTAAATCTGTTGATGAATCCATATTTCCCAGAATTAGGAAATGTGAAACTGCAAAAGCAGTATGGGATGAGCTCACAAAGATCGGAGCTGGTGATGAACAAGAAAAGGACAACAAACTGACCATAGCCCTCAAGACATTTGAGGACTTCAAAATGTTGTCAAATGAGTCTATTCATCAGATGGAATCCATGTTCCTAAAGATTATAGCAGAGGTCTCAGACCTAGGGAAACATCTATCCCAAAATGAGATTTCCCTTAAAGTCTTAAGAGGTCTGCCATCTAAGTGGGACATGAAGGTAACTGCTATGAGAGACAGCAGAGATCTCAGAACTTTGTCAACTGACAAACTCTTCAGTTATCTCAAGGCCTATGAATTTGAAATGAAGGAGATAAAAGAAGAGAAGGAAGATGAGTCCAAGACACTAGCTCTAGTGTCTGATCCAAGCACTTCAAAATCTGCTGAAAATCCCTCAATAATCTCCTCACTGACGAACAGTTCGCTATGTTTGTTAGGAAATTTAAAAGATTTGTGAAGAAGGAGGGAACTGCTCCAAAGAAAGCATACAACCAGCCACCTAGAAGACAAGGGAGACCTCAATCCAGCGAGGAGATTGTCCTGTTCTACAACTGTAGACAGCTAGGACATTACAAAAATGAATGCCCTCTGCCCTTAGCCCAAAAATATCAAGGGCGGCAGGGGACTGCTCAAAAAGTTGGTTACAAAAACTTCAAAGGCAAGAGGCAAGCCTTTGTAAGTGAAAAGAAAAGGGAGGAACTCCAAACTGATGATGAAAGCAGCTCAAGTGATGAGAGCTCCTCATCAGATAGCTCAGAAGAAGCACTTCTCTGCCTAGGATCATGGCAGGTGACTGAAGAGAGCAGCAGGTGGCTCAACAAACTTTTCACCAGTGGAAGAAAAGATGATGAAAGCTGCTCTCCCAATTGCTTAATGGCCAAGGACCACTACAACGATGTTGAGGTAACATCCTGCTCCTCCTATAGCTCTAGTGATTCTGGACCAAACAATATAACACTGGAATCTTTATTACAAGATTTCCAAAAGGTCCAAAATCATCATGTTCTCTTGAATGCTGAAAATGATAGACTGAAACAAGACATTAAGGTCATTCATTCTAAATTACTAGATACCTTAAGCAAAAATGATGTCTTAGAAAAGGAGAACAAAGAGCTGAGAAACTTCAGCACAAATAGTAAAAACTCTCACCCTACTGCTGAAGTTACTCTAAATAGGAAGAGAAGAGGTCTTGGTTACTCATCCCCCACTAGACTCACTCAAAACTGTACATCTACAAGCCACAAATCATACACAAGAAAGCTCACCTACCAAAAAACCCATCTCCCAAATGTTCCCAAAAGAAGGAACCAACCTGCTCCCAAACCAAAATCCAAACACCTGTATAAATCAACACCCCCTCACCATCTAAACCAAAGAACCTGTTGGTAGCCAATAAATAAGACCAACCACAGCCAAAATACCAAGCAGACTCCTCAAATCAATAATCCACTTCCCACTTCAAGAAGGAAAAGGATTAACAAGTACATAGTCATTCCTTTTGATTACAACACTTCAAATGGCTATAGACCAATCCGCTTAGAACTCAATGGTTCTAGATGAGCATGGATGCCCAAACTTGTACAAGGGAAGTCGCCCACTAACTTGTGGGCTACTGCTCAACATTAATTTATACAGGAAGGTGTTGGAGCAGCTGAAACACAAACATGGTACATAGATTCGGGCTGCTCCAGGCACATGACGGGCAGCAGGCGGCTCCTGTCAAACTATACAGCAAGGGAAGGACCCAAAGTAACATTTGGGAATGTGGAAAAACAAGGAGAAACCAAAGGAGCTGGAGACTTATCAATTAATGGACTTACAATCCAAAACATATCATATGTTAAGGGTTTAAAGTTCAATCTCATAAGCACAAGCCAACTCTGTGACAATGGCTACAATGTTACATTCTCCAAAGACATCTGCTTGATTTTAGATGTCAAAAATGACAAAATTGTACTCACTGGTAGAAGGAAGAAGGACATGTACATTGTTGATTGGAGCTCTGCAAAGGGAGGAATCTGCTTAGTGACAAAGGCAGATTCAAACTTAAGTTGGGTATAGACTAGGGGTAATGTAACCTCTTGAAGTTGCTATATGCAAGTGTAGGCCGAGGGCTATTTAAAGGGAATGTTTTGAAATACAAATGGGCCTACGGGCCGGCTATTTTAATTGTATATATATAATATACAAGTGATTTGAAATGGGGTAGCTATAGGTTATGCCCATAATATAGTATCACCATATGTTGAGGGTCTTGTGCTTGAAACGTGGATTATATGCCGTTTAGTTGTCATTGTACTTTTCAAATGCTTCAAAGTACTGACCCCCCTTCACGGGGGAGGCCACCTCACAATTTTCAGGTAGAATTGAAGCTAGAGCTTGCTTCCTGTTCCCGTTGCTCGGGTGATCTATGGAGAGAAGACGTGGTTCGTGCTTCTTCCAATTCTATTTTCATATAAATAAAATGATGCTCATGGAAACTATTTTAAACTATAAATGATTTGGGAGCATGTGTGCTCATGTTTGCCCTGTGTGGCCTTTGACTTTGAAAATGTTTTTTTTTTCCATTGCGTATTTTGAAATGCTTTATTTATGATTGTTTATGGATGCACTTGTGTGAATGGTATTCATGTACGCCTTGCATGATTCGATAGAGGTAGACTGCG